TATAAAGAAGTAAGCAATCCTGAAAGCGGAAAGACTTACAGAAACAGAAAGACTTACAGAGCTATTAGATTTGGGTTACCAAAATCTGGATCATCACTAGATGGCAACAAAGAGATACAGAAAATTCCAGAGTTATCTGGTAATCAACTTTTGCAGCCCTAGTTTTTGCAGTGACATGAGCACCTTTAACAGGACTAGGAAGGCAAATGGCAAGCAGTGATATTGTTTCGAAGCACAGTTTTTGTGGGTCCTTTCAGAAGTATCATTCTGGCCCAGGTTCAAATTGTGGACCATTTTAAGAGCTGCCCCATGAAGAGCACACGTAGTTGAATTACAATAAGCCAACCATAAAAGTTACCAGCATATGAAAGACTGCAGTTTGTTCTCTCTCCCCCCCCTCCCCCCACATCTCTTCCAAGGACACATCTGGTTTATCATCAATGTGGCGGTTCAAGGCCAAAATTAGATATTCCCCAAACTGCAAATCTGATTCCTAAGGGAGAGTGCAATCACATTTAGAACTAGTGTATTTCACCCAAATTTAGTTCCCAGATCAGTCACAACTCCATTAAAAAGCTCTATCTTGTCTCTATTTACTTTCAGCTTATTCTTCCGCATACAATCCTTTACGATTTGGTTTGCGGGTGAGAGAGGATTACAAGGAGTTGGTCTGCCAGAATTGTTGAGATGTTACTTGGCCTTGTAGTGAAATTAAACACTCAGAGGAGAAGAATAGAAATATATCAAACCTTGCGCTTCCAGTAAAGGAATTGAGCATCACCACCATATTGGCGGCCACTAGCTCCAAACATGAAATTCTTTTCGATAGCTTCTTATAGATACTAAATAATTCAAGAAATGAGAAAGCCAGGGTTCAGGTTTGCAGTATCAATTTTTGATAATGCTAGAGAAGTAGGAGAGATCCAAATTTCCCCTAAATGCCTGTGATTTCGATCTTCCTCATGCACTTTTAGATACTATCATCTATGTTATACAAAGGAGTCGAGAGACCTAGCAACATCAACACTGTAGCACCTTTGTCTCTATCCCAGTTTAACTCATGCATCAGGTTGACCAAAGCAGTTCTCATGTCATACCTAGATCTAAAACCATTCTAAAAATAATCCATTTCCTCTAAAAGCACACTTGAAGTTCCTTGGTTTGCAAATCTACATCTGTGGGAAATTACATCAAGTGCACATTGGTTTCCCATCTGCAGATTAGCTTTTATGGACACATTTAACAATTGAGGGTTGAAGTCTTGGTGAAATAAAACTACCTTCAATGATCTGCTAAAGGACATGATGGAGGGGCCATTGCAAACTTCTGAGAGTAAAGAGTGTGGGTTGCCACGGAGGCTAATTTAATTTATTGATTCTGCCCAACTCCAAATGCCTGAGTAGCTCACAATATAATAAAAAGATAAAATATAATAACAATTAACAACAAATTAAAGACAGAATAACAGAATAACTGAGTTGGAAGAGACCTTGGGTGTCTTCTAGTCTAGAAAGCCTCTTGGATTGGAGCACCCACCATTTCTGGAGGCAGGTTGTTCCACTGATAAATTGTCCCCACCATCAGGAAATTTCTCCTTAGTTCTAGGCTAGTTCTCTCTTTGGTTAGTTTCCATCCATTGTTTCTTGTCCTGCCCTCAGGTGCTTTGGAGAATAGGTTGACACACACCCCCTCTTCTTTGTGGCAACCCCTTGGATATTAAGATGGTGAATCCAATCAACAACAACAACAGAGGCCAGCAAAAGGTTTTAATCACCCTGGTCCAAGGCCTGGGAAATCTTTAGTACTCTCCAGATTTCAGGAGGAACTTACTTCCAAAGGACAGGTATCAGGAGAGAGAAAGCATACCTACTGGCACATCAACCCTATTGTTTCATATTGGCTAAGCAGATACTATATGATATTAGGGCCTATACTATGGAAGACATAATCAGCACCTTGAATGGCTTTTGGAAACAGACTGATATGATGTAGACCAGGGGTTACCAAACTTTTGGACCTCGGGGATTACCAAACTCATAATTTTAAATCCCGTGGACCACTGATATGAATTTTGACTGACAGTGACTTCCTGACATCGGTGGGATAGTCGGTCCCATATTCCAGAGCTTCAGCAGTCACCTACTGGCCCTTTGGTCATCCCAGAGCAGCTGTTCCTTCACCCGGGTGCACTGGCCTGCCATGACTGAAGGAGCAAACTGTTCTTTTAATGTTCTTTTAAAGAACATGTTCCTTAAAATCTTCTTTTAATTCTTTCAAGGTTCAAAATTATACTACATATAAATTGTTTTAAAAAGAAAGTTGCAACCACTATAAATTAATGATCTGTCAACGCAACCTTAGGCTTTCTTTGTAATAAGCTCTCATTTCATCTTTTCATTATTACTTTTTCTCCTGTCAACCCCCACCTCACCCAGCACATGTGCACATGCACGCACGCACGCACACACACATACACACACACAAAGTTTTTGGCAAGAGATATCAGATAAGCCCTGCCAGAAGATTACTCATACTTTCTCCATTATATATAATAAAGACACTGATTTCCCAAATGTGTGCCAGCCACATTTCTGGACCTTATAGAATTACACATCCATTCCCTATTGTTCCTAAAGAATGCCCTCAGGTTAAGCTCAAATCCTGGAAGCAACATCCCTGCAAAATTCTTAGCAGCATTACAAATGGGCTTTGCCACTGTAATCTTCCAGTATTTATTTATGCTTCCCAATGTAATCAACAACCCTCAAATTCTCAGGCAGTTCCGCATCCATGGGCAAATCAGAAGCAACCCTGCTGTTGCTTCTTCAGTCACAGTCAGCTAGGCATTGCCCCTCAATAAATCTATTTTCTTCTATTTTGTCAAAAAGGGTCAAAGCAATACCTATCTCGGTTTTGGAAGATGAAGTGTAGCACTATGTCATACTTGTTTCCATAGTTAGTTAATTTAAATATATGCAAGCATAATGGCACGATCAATCAAATCTCAGCATGTCTTAAAACTGCCAGCTTCAGAATCAATCATTGTTGCACCAAGTCTGGGTCTGAAGAATGAATGAAGGTCCTCTCCTAGAAGTCCTCTCCATCTACTCTGCCTCCTGCCTTGTGGAGGGAAACTTGATAATTACTGCTGCCCACACTAATCTTCTGGTGATGCATTCATCTTACATCTTCCCTCTAATGCCAGCATGTGTGTGAGAGAGAGCGCCAACACAACCCTTATTGTTTTTTCTGGCAGATTAAAACTTAAAAATTACACTGACTAAATATGTTCTGTAATATCACCTCCTAGCCCTGTAATGTTGGGTTAGGTGACTAGGAAAATCAGTCTGTTCTTGTCTCTCACCCTTTGGGGAGACAGATCAATTTAACAGGAATCAAAATATCTTTTTTTAAAAGAAAATTAGTTTTAAAAAGTCTTTTTGATTTTACATAAATGCAAATTAAACTTTGATTGGCAAAGGGGATAAAGCATGGAATTCAGATTACAGGTCACAACTGAAAGGCTGTTTTATAAAAACAAAATAAAGAATAATGACTTCCTTCCTTCCTCTAATATGCCATGCAATGCTATCCCTTTTTTTAAATTTGATGGCAAGAGATATTCACTAAAGATGTCTTTCAAAAGTCCTTTAAACAAAACCATGAATATCCCACGGGAAAGATACCAAATGGACAGGGTTTTTTAATAGGCTATATATAGCATCTTTTTATCTGGAAGAGACAGCTTCATATTAAAAGTCTTTTTCTGGAAGCACAACTGTTTTAAGAACTACATTTTGAGCACCTTTCTTGCGAAACAAAAGTTTAGCAGGATGATTACTATATCCTAAGACATTAATTGTCCAATATTGATATTCTGGCAATCTATTCGCATTCTAAGTTTTGCAGTATACTTATAAGGATATATAAAATGTATGTATGGATCTCTAAAATAATAATTGAACCAGATTTTTGATTAATGTAATTTTATATTGTATACTTTCTCTTTTAAAAATGACAACTTATTAGATACACACCACAGAAAATACTGGAACCATGGATACATTTATTTATTTTTGCACTGTGCTGAATTGATCCTTTGACTTTGCTAATGCTCAACCATCACCCACTACTTGAGGTTGTGTCTGCATAACTCACCAGATTAACACGTAATTGGCTAGTTTGTAGTTCAGGGTAAATGTGCATACTGAGGCTAGTGGATTAATTCGAAAAGCCAAGCAATGTAGAAACTTGCCTGATTTGGTCGCTGCCAGGTTACTTAGCAGATGCCTTCTGGAACTCGGACTTGGTGGAAGGAGAATGTCAGCAGATGCTTCATTCTAATGAGAAACTACTCCAGCAAAACCCCAGGAGGAAATTCTGTTTTGACGCACTAATTGCTTGTGTATGTAATTACAACCGATGTAGGTGGGAAAAGAAATTGAGATATTAATTCGCTGTCATGGCACTGAAGTGGGGGGGAGAGAGACACACCAAAAAAAAACCGGTCAGCAGAGAAGCTCAATGTCATCTGCTAGCTCCACCACGGGATTTCTAATGACTCTCCGCCGGGCGATTTTGTGGAGGGACTGTAGTTAAAACATTTCCACTCCAGCAGCTCCAGTTACTCCAACTCCTCCCCTCTCCGCCCCCGGCACCTGATGAGGATGCGCAAGCACAATGAAAGGCGCCGCGAAGTTTACTACCCTGTGGAAGGAAACACTTCACGTCTCGTCAGAAAAACGAATCCTTTCTCCACAAACCAATCCTTCCAGCGGGGACGAAGTACAACCCTGGCCGCTTACCCGCCCACACACACACACACCCGCGTCTCCTACGGCGCCGAGGCCTTCTTTAGCCGCCGGGAGACCGCCCAGGAGGTGTGGCTTGGAGCCTGTCTCCAGCGGCGGGGTGTTTTTTTTTTTCTTTTTGGTAGCCGAAGCTGAGCGACGGGACTGGTTTTGCTGGGTTTTATGCCCCTCGGCCTGACAAAACTCGGACTGCAAAGCCGAGTGGAGGAGTCTGGCGAGCGGTGCCGTCCAAAGGACGGCGAGCAACAAGTGTTCCCCGGCCGGCCCTTTCCAGCTGGGCGGTGTACGAAGTTTGAAGAGGGTTCGGGTCCTTCGGCTGCCTGAGAGCACGTGGCCCCGGCCCCTGGGAGGCGGGCGGCTTGCGGAGGAGCCAGAGGGTCTGTTTCGGATGCCCTCGTCCGCTACTGAAGGAAGAAGAAACCAGGGAGCCCTCGAGGAGATGCGCTGACGGGAGCGCGAGAGAAGTGAAGTGGCCGCAGCGGGGTGAGTCACGAAAGCGAAGAGGAGGAGGAGGACGAGACGGAAGCGGCCCTGACGTTTCTTCTTTGCCTCGCTTCCACTAGCCGAAATGCTCCCTTCTCGCTGTCGGTGAAAGCCCGGGAGAGACCCCTTCTGTTAGGATTGCTCGCGGGCTTGGGGCACCGGTTCCCAGGGAGGAAAAGCGACGCGCGCTTGACCCCCGGGGAGAATCCACTCCGGACTGTGGGAAGGGCGAGGGGCAAGCGCCGCCGAAACAACGTGTAATGGGGGAAAACCCGGCACATCCTGGCTCTGCTGACAAGGCCATCATCTCCTAAGAGCGATGGTGGCGGTGGCGGCGGCGGCGGCTTCATCAAGGACCACAGCAACTCCGCTCAAAGGGACCCGGCGACGTAGCAGGAGGAACGGGCCCCGGCCATTGTCTGCCAAGGTAAGGGCAAAACCTTTCCCTCCGTGGTTTCGGCTGCGCGTCGTCTTGTATTTATGAGTTTGTTTGGCGACCGGAGAAAGGAGCAGTTGGTGTCCGGGCACGTTGGAGAGGGTAGGAAAACAAAACAACCCCCGAAACAATGCGGCCGTGTTTTTTTTCAAGAGGGCTCGCCTTCAAGTGGCTTTCCGTGGGTTTCCTGGCTACACGCAGAGATGCTCGCCCGCACGCCCCAGCAATCCTGTTTGGGCGGTTTGATGTTTTCCTCCGCCGCTCCCTTCACCACGAAAGGAGACTTGAATTGTACGTGGAAAATTTTGAATATGGCTCGTGGGTATGGCGTCGAAAAGATCAAGGGGGACTTTGCTCCCCTTGGGGTTTCTCGACTGCCGAGTGTAAGAGGCCAGCAGGGTTGCTTTAGTTTTAAGAGGGGTCGGTGATAGTCTTGGTCTCCCGGGTTTTCTTTTTCCATTTCAGACCTTTTGTTTACTTATTTTCATGCCTTATTTGCAAGCTCACGCCTGGTTGGATTTGGTTGATAAGATTACATCCTACATGTTCTCTGGAGTGTAGAATTTATACAAGAACTAAAGAGAAAGAGAATTTGACAGTTTTGGTATAATCTGGATTATTTCATTGCAGAAATATGTTGACTGTTGAAGTACTGTGCAAAGAAGTGAAAAGGCTGTTGGCTTTCAGTTTATGTTCTACCTTGCATAGGTGCAAGACTAGAGAAGCTGTTCTGATTTTTCTGAGTATCCTTGAGGTTTCAGCCCATCAGTCCAATTGATATTTGGTAATTTACTCTCTAAATATGGGGAAATAAAGGCTTTCATTATTTGTGTAAAGAAATTGAACTGTTTGGAAGAAATAACAAGCCATCTTCAGTTTTGGTTTTTCTTAAGGTTTAAATGTTTCCTCTTGCTCTGGCATCAGAGCAAGGATTACAAATTGTTTGGATGCTCACAAAATAAGCTAGAAAATGTCAATGATCACTAGATGGTGTTTTATTTGCTGCCATCTAGTGGTCATCTGGATGTTTGCAGCCCAAGTCATCCTGTTCCCAAGCACACAATTGTCCTTTAAAAAATTACTTTGTCTTTCTCTGTCTCCTTGGACTTAGCGAATTAATTTCACAATGTTTTGTAGTTCTGAGGACCAATGAATCTTGACTAAGTTTACATAGTATTTGGTTTGATATTTTCACAAAATAATGATTTAGCTATAATGAGTACACGCATATCAGTTCTGTAAATATTCACATAATGTTCTCCTTCAAGAATAATTTTGCACATATAAAAATTAAACACTGGTAATTATTTAGTACACAACCCCCAAATCATTCTTACTCCAAAGAGTAAAACCTACTTAGCATTCTCTTTGACTGACCTCCATATAATCATTAGACTACATAACTACAGATTATTAACTCATGGATTCAGCAGTGTTAAACAGAATCCACTCGGCAAGAATACATTGTCGAGGACAATTTACCAGATAAGAAAACCCCTTTGACAAAGATTGCAAAAAAAAAAATGTGCTGAAGTAATCATGATGATGCATTTTTACTCTTCTCTGAATCCCTCTGTCCAAAAAGCTTCCGAAGAAGCTAACACAAAACAACCATGATCCAAGGAAAAGAGTTGGAACATAGAAAAGAGAGAACTTGTTAGCTTTGGCTTTAGAGCTTAGTTAAAAACTCTTTATCAAATGGAATGAAAGCTGCTTGGAGTGCCTTGATGGGACGTTAATCATAACTTGGAGAGGCAGGCAGTCTCTAAACTGAAATTTGTATGCTGATAAAACAATGTTAGCTTTGGGAATATTTTCCATATGTAGAAAATCATGGTATTACCTAAGCATAGAGCGTTTTTTGCACCGAATATGTGGATTGTTTTACAATAGTTGAGGGATAGAAAAGTGACAGAGTGCAAGTAGAAAGATGTTTTATAAAAACTGCTTGACATGCCAATACACCAAGAAATAATAGGCCTTCCTCTTTTCTTAAAGAACTTTCTATCACATGCTGGAAAAATGGTCATGTAATCACATCAGATGTCACAATGCATGCAGGAGAAAAATCAATTGGTGGATTATGATCCGGAGAGCAAGGAAAAAGTGAAAACTGAAATAGATACTGATATCAAAGATATAGCAGGTTAGACTTGATACAAACTAGTAAGGTTTAAAATACAGATACTGTTTTCCATTATGAATTTAACATTGGTAACTATAAAAATTATTTTTTTTTAAAAAGGGCACAGTAAAATGAGTGAATGCTAGATACTATAATGTTCCAAATCTGAATGATAGTCCAAATGTATATACAGGTAGCTTGAAGTATTTGTATATTCAAATGCAGGAATGGGAGTTTAAAGGTAGATTATCATTTTGAAATGTTTAGAAAGCTTTCATTTTTAAAAAACAATCCTGACAAAATTGATTCATATCAGTTCCAATATAACAGTTGAAGTCATACATTTTTAATGGCATGGACTAAAAATGAAACTAAAATTAGATGCGTATGACTATATTCAACATCATAACTTAACATTGATTCCACTCTACTTTTTAAGCTGTTTCTGAGGGTGGGGAAAGTATTTACTTTTTTTTTTGTTTAATCAGGATTCTGAATGTTTTAAGCGTTCATTGTGAATGCATTAGTTAAAGTCAAAGCCATAAGGAATACACTGTAATAAAATGTGAGAATCTAACTTTAATATACATTTCCTCCACAGTCGGGGATTGTTCAGGTCCCCCTGGTCAACATGGGATGGCTTGAGAATGACAACAGACTGGAACACATACAGAATTTAGCAGGCAGATCAGCACGTACAGCTCTATCTCTAGATGTTTTGAATACTCAGGTTGCTATCAAATGCATAAATAGGGCCATTGAGACATGACTTTCAATACGATGGGGATGGAAGGATGAGCTTGGTTTATTTATTCAGTTTAAATGGTGCCCATTCACATGAGATCCTGAGCAGCTAAAAAGCAGTTAAAAAGAATTTAATAACATCACATTGCGCTTGGAGTGACTCATAAACTGCATCATCTCATCCCTGACAGTCAGCATCTTGACCCACTGCTTAAGAGAAGAACCTGGTCTTCAACGCCTTACAAATGATCAACAGAGTTGGGACCATCCAAATCTTGGGATGATAGTGTTTTATTCCATAGAACAAATACTGCAAAAAAGAAGCCACACTTCCTGGGCCCCATCAGATGTCCCTGTTTGATAGATGGGACCTAAACCATGCCTACCCTGTCAGCTCTTGTAGACAATGGGTCCTGCAGATAAACCAGCCCATCCTATATCATGGAGGGCTTCATAAATGAAAATCAGTAACTTGCACCTGGAAGTCCACTGGGAGTTAACAATGTAGAAATGTGACATGGTGTACCCCGTAAATACTGCATTTTTCCGTGTATAAGATATTTGTCTTAAAAATATTTACCTGAAAATGGAGGGGCGAGAACAATTGCCGTTCGCCCAGGGTCAGGCTGCCTGTCGTGGGAGGCGTGGCCCATCCCCGTCTTCCAACTCCACCGTAGATGTGGGACGAGCCTCCTGTAATGGGAAAACCGGTTGTTAAATTACCACACACACACACACACACACACTATCAAGGTGGATCCTGGGCCCTTGTGATGAAATGGAGAAATGGGAAATGGAGCGGCCGGCACAAGGTGGGGGGGAGGAGCAGGGAGAAGAAAGAGGGAAATTGGCCTTCTCCTTCCCTTGCACCGGCTGTTCTGTTTCCCATTTCTCCATTGCAATGCCAGCGCTGCGGAACTTGCCCACCCACCACCGTCCAGATGCCCTTACTTCTCCTAAGTATTCCTTTGTCTACCTGATTTCCAGCTCTGTCCATTTCTCTGTCGCATTTCTCGCCATTGTGCAGGGAAACAAGTTTGTTGGACTAAAAAAAAAGTTCAGTCAATTCCAACTTCTCACAAAAAAATGATCTCGCAAAGTTGGAATTGATTGGTTTTTTTTAGTCCCATAAACTTTTGTTTCCTGGCACATGATGACGAGAAACGTGACAGAGTTGGAAATTTGGGTAGGCAAAGAAATGCTTGGAGGAAGCGAGGGCATCTGGGTGACAGGCACTGAAACAGGCCCATCTCTCTCCAGAAGTTGCCTAGGCCCACTGGGGGGAAGGCCAGCATCTGCCAGCACTTAAACACAGCGGCATTCCAGCTCTGGCTGGGAAGGGGCAGCTAGCATTGGTGCTGCAGGCAGGATGCCGGCTCGTTTCAGCACCCTTCCCACTTTACCCCTGGGCTGCCGCCTTATGTGCAGGCCCCACCACCGTTGCCTGAGACAGTTTTTGCCTGATTTCTGAATTTTGGGTAAGAAAAGGGGGAGGCATCCTATACATGGGGGCATCTTATAAATGGGAAAAATACGGTACTTACATTGCTGTGTTCTGGACCAACCGTAGCTTCAGAGCACATTGCAATGATTTAGACAGAAGGTGACCAATTCTGATGAAATCATAGAGAAGATAGCAAGACAATTAAGAATGGAAAGGGCTATTCGAGATTACAGGTGGCCTCACTTAATGACCATTCATTCAACAATTGTTTGGACTTATGACAGTACTAAACCACTGGTACTTATGACCAGTACTTGTTCTGTCTGTCACAGTATCCTACAGTCACATGGGTTGTCATTTGCTGGATTCTGACAGCAAAGTCAATAGGGAAGCTGGCAGAAGATCACGAATGGCAACCACATGAAATCGGGCTTAATGGTCTCATGTGATATGCTTAAAGGCAACTAGAACTGCTGGAAAGGCCATTCCTAAACAGCATGGTCTTATCACCACGTTGTTTAACAGCAGACTCAGTTGCTATTATTAACCAAAGACTACCTATACATCATTGAATCCAAGGAGGGAGGGAGCAAATATGAGAAAGATTCGGAGTATCTTTAATTAATTATGCTAGGTATAAGTTGTGTGGGCAAAGTACCTTGGTAAGTTTTCAAGATA